ATCTGCTCAGAGCTGGCTGCTTCCTTCAGATGAGGGAGCCCTGTGCCATGTGAACCTAACCTGCTTTTTGGGCTTTCCTCYCCATGTTTGTGTTGGCTGTTTTGGTATCAGTCCATGCCCAGGGACTTCAGCTTCATGACTTGAAAGAGTTTGGTGACTGTTATGAAGAGAGCAGCAGCTTCTGCTTCTGCTTCTGTTTGTGGGTTCCTAGGAGCAAATGTTTCCTTTTTCCCTAGAAAAGCCTCCTGTTATCATTTGGCTTCCCTTCCTCTCTGCAAGGGGGTTACTGTGCCTCACTTTGCCTCTTTGCCAGGATATGTTCTTCAYTGGGAAGGAGATCCCTGTCATTCATCTTCCTTCTTATTCCTCTCAGGAAAAAAAAGCCCAGGAGAAACTGGAATTTGAGCGGCGCCTGAATGTGGGGCAGCGAGAGCAGGCTCTGCTCGYACAGCAGCTCAACAGCCACAAGGATGAGATCCTGCAGACTGTGAGAGAGGTGGGTGTGCTGGGCAGGGCCCATCAGAGCATCCCCTGCCTTCCCCAAACCCACCCCTTTCTCCTGCTTTCCCTCCTGGAAAAAGCTTTCCTGTTATTATTTTATGGGTAGGAGCAGCAGAGGCTGGAGGAGGGTCTGTCGAAGCACCAGCGCTGCTTGGAGGAGGAGAGGCTGAAGCTGCTGCAGCAGCTGAAGGACACAGAGCAGGGCATTGCCAGCAGGATCCAGAAGCTGCTGGAGGACAACCAGAGGTGGAGTCGCAGGGAGTCTTGCCCTGATTTGGTTTTGTCATGTTGTTTTGAGTGGTTCATTTCACCCCTGAGTGTTTTGGACTCGGTCAGGATTGCTGTCTGGAGGAGCTGCCTTAGCTCCTGGACTGCCAAAGACCCATTGAAAGCATGTGGAATTTCCACTTAAAAGAACTTGTTTCACACCTGTGTAGTGATGGAATTTTGTGGTGCTGTGGAAGAAATTCAAAAGCCTCAGGGAAGATGCAAATTTGAAGGATTTTAAGGTGCCACTGCCTGTGTCTGCTGGGTCTCCATGGGGGCTGGTGCTGATGGGAGAAAGCTGCTCTGCTGTGCATGACAGCAAGGTTGTTTTCTCTCAGGCACATGGAACGATTGTGGGGGCTATCCTGTGCAGGGCCAGGAGTGGGATGATCCTTGTGGGTCCMTTCCAAGTCAGGATATTGTTACTCTGTGATTCTACCCTCTGGAGGACCAGGATGTCCTGCTCAGTTTGATGAAAACCTCTTGTTTTAACTTTTTTTTTTAGGCAAAAACGAAGTTCAGACATTCTGAAGTCCTTGGAGAATGAGAGGTGAGACTCCTTGAAAGAAGCTTGTCTGGGAAAAGGGCAAAAACCCTCCCCCCAGAGGGCTGGGAGCTTCCTTTCAGAGTCACCAGTCCAAATCCACCCTAAGTCAGATGAGGTTCATCTCATACCTGCAGCTGACTCTGGTCACTGTTGGAGGCAGGACAGTGGGCTGAGGTGCCTGCTCTCACTCAGTCTGACAGGGTGATTTTACCTCTTTTTCATCTCTGAATGGTCTGCATTAAGGAATTGGGGAACAAAATGCTGTATTTGGGGAACAAAACCGGCAGAGATCCTCATGTGCTGATGAGCAAAGCACCTCTGGAGGTGGTCCAGAAATGTGTCCAGGCTGGGAGGAGTAGGGGGGAAGCAATCTGCCACTCAGCCAGCACTCTGAGTTAACTCTGCCATCAAAAGTGACTGTCTCAGCTCTGCCCTGCCTGGGAGCTGTCCCCTCCCTTCAGCCAAATATGCTGTGGCCCAGTACATTGGGTGAAAATCATCCAGTTGTTTGTCAGACTATTCCCAGCCACAGCAGCTCCTGAGCTGTTAAATGGTGGTGGGGTGTGCTGGGACAAGGGCAGGGTGGTGGGGAGGGAGGCCAGGCTGCTGCCTGTGGTGGCACTGCTCACCTGGGCCAGCTGTGAAGGGCTCATCCAGSAGAAAGGAAAGCTCTGGCACTGTTTGGTGAGAGCATGTGCATTATGTGTCAACATTCTGTCTCTCAGAAAGTTCAGCTTCCCTGTCTGCAGCCACTGTCCCTGTGGTTTGGAGCAAAATTTTTGTTTTCTCCCATAAACCTCAAAGTTCCTCACCAAAAAATCCCTGAGGCTTTGGTGTCTCTGATAAGACTAGCTTTCCTGAGCAGGGTGAACTGCCCAGCCTTGAGGCTCTGAGCTGGGTGGATGGAGGAGAAGGCCTGGTTTGAAGGAGTGGCTGAAATGWTGTTTGTTGGCAGGATCAGGATGGAACAGCTGATGGCGATAACCCAGGAGGAGACAGAGCAGCTGCGCAGGAGGGAGGTGGCCTGTAAGTGCAGCCAGGTCTTTGGAGTGATGAAGTGAAGGGTCTGGAGCACCAGGAGCAGCTGAGGGGGCTCAGCCTGGAGCAAAGGAGGCTCTGGGGGGACCTTCTCACTCTCTACAACTCCCTGACAGGAGGGTRCAGYTGGGGGGAGTYGGGCTCCACTCCTTGGGAATAGGGACTGGACAAGAGGAAACAGCCTCAAGCTGTGCTAGGAAAGGTTTAGGCTGGACATTAGGAATATTTTTTTCATGGAAAGGGTGATCAGGAATGGAAAGGGTGACACAGGAATCACCATCCCTGGAAGTGCTCAAAAAACATGTGGGTGTGACACTTGGGGACACGGCTTTGTGGTGAACATGGTGCTGGTGACAGTTGGTCTTGACTATCTTAAATGTCTTTTCCAACCTTAAGGATTCTGTGAAAGACCTGATTRCTCTGGAGATGCCCTGGGTAGGTGGCAGCCATGGGGGAGCTGCTCTGGCCCACACATTCTGACCTTGGTGCAGGGAGCAGCASTGCCCCTGTGCCACAGCTGCTCCACGGCTTCCACCTGCAGCTCCCTGACTTTTCTCCCGGAGCTACAGGCCAAGCTCCCTGGTGACCCGTCARGTTCATGTCTACGGTGCTGGGGAGCCACTTCTGCTCAAGCTGACCATGACCAGATCTGTTGGGGTGCAAGGGAAACAGGAGATGCTGTCCCCCCAAGATTGGCAGAGCTACAGCACAGCTGCTCCATTCTCTGTGTCCAGGGACAGGAGCCAAGGAGCAGCTGGAGCTGGGCCAGGGCAGGSTCAGGYTGGAGAKCAGGGAAAGGTTCTTCTGTCCCCAGAGGGTGCTGGCACTGCCCAGGCTCCCCAGGGAATGGTCCCGGCCCCGAGGCTGCCAGAGCTCCAGGAGCGTTTGGACAGCGCTGCCAGGGATGGACAGGGTGGGGCTGTTGGGGGGTCTGKGCAGGGACAGGAGTGGGATTCGATGATCCTGGTGGGAACCTTCCAACCTCCCAGAATACTCTGTGATGCTGTGATCTGAGGGTTGGCAGGCAGTGAGTGGGCTCCTCTGAGCACTGAAGCACAGGCAGAGTGGGGTTTCCTCAGCTCTTTTCTCAATAAACAGCCCCAGCTCTTGCAGGTGGATGGGTGTRCTCTGAAATCCATGACATGGGAGAGCAAGAGCAGGCTGTGATGAGAGGAGAGTCAGTGCTGGTTGCAGTGGCTGCAGAGCAGCTGTGGGTGAATCCTGCTCTGCACAACCAGGCCAGGCAGGGACTGACAGCCCCTGTGTCCCCTGTGTCCCCTGTGTCCCCAGCTGCCATGCAGCAGATGCTGGCTGAGACCTACAAGAACAAGCTCCTCCAGATGAGCTCCGAGTCCCGTCGGCAGGACCTCGTCAGCCAGGCCTGCTCCAGGTACCAGGGGTGGCTGGGGCTGGTGGTCAGTCCCTCTCTTTCCAGCAGTGTGATTCCTGTGTGTACACCAGGGTCTCCTGGAGCTGCTGCAATGTGGCAGCACAGCTGTGACACCACAGGACAGTGCAAATTAAACTGTCAAGGTCCCTTAAATGAACCTTCCAACAACAACAAAATGCACATTAATCACGTTTTGTGGGAACTGTCACTTCTGTTTATTCTGCCTTGTACACTCTGCTGAACATGGGTGATGGGATTAGACCAGTTGTGTTCCTGTTTTGTGAGGCACTTCAGTGACAAACTGTAGCCCAGAGCTCCTCCCTCACCTCCCAGGCTGCCTCAAAGATGCTGTGTGTGCACCAGTAATACCTGAGTGTTGCTGTGTGTACCCAGAGCATCCTGGCTTGCTGTTTACMACAAGGTGAGAAGTTTTAATCTAGAAACATCTGGCACTGAGCAAAAGCAGCCTGGTGAGCCTGGTGCAGGTTTTGTTTGGATGCAGAGAAGAAAGTGTTGCCTTTGTGGCCTTCAGCTGTGCAATGCTGTGGCTCTTATCCCTGCTCCATAAGAAATTTCTCCTCCTGTATTCCCCATTCCTGCTTTTCCTCTTGTTTGCCTCAAGAGTCCCAGATCTGGCATTAACTCCATGGCACATCTATCTCCTTGCAGCCTGGCTGAGATGGATCAGAAGTTCCAGCAAATCCTTGCTTGGCAGCAGCTGGGTCAGAACAAAGCTGTCAGTCAGATCTTGGAGCAGGTAGGCAAAGCAGCAAACTGCTCTTGGGAATTTGAGGGAAAGCAGCAGCCTGTGAAAGCAGGATCCAGAATGGGTCACAGGAGCAGTGGCTGGGCTGCATGCAAAAATTATTTTATTTAGTCCTATATGATAAACTTCGAGAATATCTGCTATTCTAACAAACTAGGGTGGTTGAAACAAAATTAGTTTTTATCTTGACAGCAAATTTTTGGAAAAGACAGAAGCACAGGTCATGGGAAGCAAAATTGACATGATGGTTAAGAGAGGATTTTGAGACAGAAGTCCTGTCTTTTGGTAGATTTCCTGGGTGATTTGGGACAAATATTTTCAAAACTCGTTTTCAGAGGTGCTGGGCAGCTGTGCCCTGTTGTACAGTTTGGGTGCTCAGTGCTGCTGGAAAGGAGAGGTGGAGCCACACAGAGCATTCCAAATGTGTGTTTGAAAACATTCATATTTCTCTGTGTGGGTTTTACCTGCTGGGCTCTCACCTGAGGTCTCAGGGTGTTGTTGATCAGAGCAAGCACCACTCAGGGGCTCGTTCCTGAGTCCCTGCAAGGCTGCACTTCCTGAGCCCATCAGCARCTGCAGCAGCCACCTCACTAAGCAGGGTTTTGCCTGTCCCTCAGATTGAGATGCAGAAAGCTGCCTTTGAAGCTCTCCAGGTGAAGAAGGACCTTATGCACAGGCAGATCAGGAACCAGGTGAGTCAGCAACAGAGGAAAGAGCAGCCAGCTTGTCAGCCCGTCCTGCTGTTTGATGAGACCCTGTAATGCAGAACAAAGTGCTGTGAGCCCAGAGCGGGCTCTGAGGGCATGGACAGCTCTCAACAGAGAGTTGGACAGTGTTGGTTACTCTCCAGTCTCCCAGCTCTGAGGCAGGGAGTGTCAGAGCAGATTTTGGATTCCTGGAGGTGGTGGTGGCATTGCCACTGCTCCAGTTCCACTCAGCTCAGCACTGGGGGGTGAAGCACTGGAGGATGGACCTGCACTGGCTCCAGGGGTGCAGCTGCAACTCCCCTTTCCTGCAGGCTGGGTACTTGGCAGGCTGCTGCTTCCACGAGTCCACTGCATCTCCATCCAGCACAGCAGAGCTGTGTCCTGAGCCATCAGTTCACCTTTCCCATTCTCAGCCTGCCTTGCTGAGCTCCATTCTGCAGGAGGTGCAATGATGTAGTCAGGGGGAAAAGCAAGGGCTGGTGGAGAAAGTTCAGTGGATGATGCAGGAAGGTGGGACAGTGGCAGTGGATGATGCAGGAGGGTGGGTTGCTGGTTTCTAATGCACTGTTCCACAGTGCATTAGATTTTTTTTAGAATTTTCCCTCTCCTTATGTGACACAGCAGCAAAGCCTTAKGTCAGGTTTTGCTGGACGAACTAAAGGGTTTGGATAGGTTGAGTTCCCCAGTGAYCAGTGTGTGCTGGCAGCCTGTGAACCGTCTGACAGCTCTCCATCACTGCCTGAGTTCATCCATGAGAGCCCTGCCTTTTGCTCCCATCTGCTCTCTGAACAAAGGGAATTTGTTCCTTGAGGCCAAGGCTGAACCGTTCACCCTTGGGACCCATCCCAGCCCCTGCTGCAGGGGCAGAGCTCCAGGGTGAGCAGGAGCAGCGGGACCTGGGGACAGTTTGTGGCCTGGCAGAGGGGTGAGCTGGGCTCTCATCTTGGCTTCGCTGTGGGACCTTGGGCAACTCATTCCACCTCTCTGTGTCTCAGTTGCCCCACCTGCAAAAACAGGTACTGCTCTGGGATTGCTGGAGCACCTGGAAATGTCTCAGGAATCTGAGGTTTGAGCTGTTGGGCTGAGACAGCCTTGACTCTGCTTTCCAGAGTGGCTGCAAAAGGTTTGGGTGCACAGACTGATTGCAGTGAGGTTCTGGATTTGAAAAGAAGGTGTTCAGAGCAGAGAGACAGTTGAGGGGGGCACAGCTGCTCAGGCAAAGGAAAAGGGTCCCTGAGCACACCCAACACCAAAGGGTACGAGCAGCTCCCCCAAACCTCTGGGTGCTCAGCAGTGCTGTCCCTGCCAGGGCAGCAGTCAGACCTCATTTGAGAAGAGCACAAATTAAAGTCATTTCAAATGTCAGTAAARAATGTTTCATCTTCTGTTTAGATTAAATTAATAGAAACAGAGTTATTGCAGCTGACACAGCTGGAGTTAAAGAGGCAAGAACTGGACACAGAGACGCTGCAGGTACGTGGGGCTCTGGGGCYGGTCCCCACCCTCTCTGCTCTGGGGTTGCTCCACTGGCTTCCTTTGCTCCTGGCAGTTTCCAGAAGGTTTTATCCATAGGCAGAAAGTCCTTTTGCCCAGGGCACTCCCCTCTATGTCCTGGGAATGTGGGAACATCGCTGCTGCTCCTAAACATCCCCAGGTGTTCTCAGGGGAGAGACACAAGACCCTGGATAGGGATGGCAGTTCCAGATGTGCTGGGTGGGGAAGGGTTTTGCAATCCAGTTGTTGGCTGTCCCCAAACCACCTGCCTGCTGTGCATTGCATGTCCTCTCACATTGTGTTATGGTTTGGTTTGGGCTCCATCAGCACTCACACATTGAGGGATACCAGGTTTAGCTGAAGCAGCTTGGCTTTCAATTTTTGTTATCATGCTTCTGCATCCGTTGTTTTCTTCTGTTGCCATGTGCCAGTTCGGGTAACCTGCTTAGTCAGCCCAAAATTGGTGACAAACATCCAGAGTGGTCACAGAGCAACGGTAAATGCTGGCTTGAGGCAGAAAAGCTCCTATCCTGGCTCCTTTGGGTGTAGGATTTGGGTTGTGTTACCTGAGCTCACAGAGCTCCTCTGTATCCCACGGCAGTGTTGGAGGGCACGGGGTGGGGACCAGGTGTGACCCTGGAGAGCACAGGAACTGCAGGGCAGTGCAGGAAACAGGGCTCTGCCCAGGACCCCCCTGCAGCTCTGGCACCAGGAGCCAAGGAATGAGGCATGGACACCTGGATCCCTCTGCATCTCCCACCCTCTGCAGGCCAAAGGGTCCCTGCTGGGGCTGCAGCAGCTCCATCTGCCATCAGTTTTCCCTCTCCCCTCTGTGGAGGTCCTGACCCTTCCTGCCTCATCAGGACAGCACATCTCTGCACTCCTGGTGGAGGGTTTGGCCTGGGACAGGTGGCTGTTCCTCTGTTAAACGGGCCTTGTCCCTGTGCAGGGTCCAGGTGCTGATCCCAGGCTGGACAGGGCTTGGAGAACCCTGGGACAGTGGAAGGTGTCCCTGCCCCTGGCACGGGTGGCACTGGATAGGTTTGAAGTCCCTTCCAACCAAATCAGTCTGGGATCCTGTGACCAATGAAGGTTTCCTCAAACTTCAGTGTGACAGAATACTTGTCCCTCTGTCCWTGGACATCTGAAGTCCTTGTGGCTGATGACCAGTGGCCTCTGCCCAGGTATGGGTGAGCTGGGACTCAGCCAGGCAGAGGTGCCATGTGCTGGGTCATTCCTGAGCCAGTTAACTCTTCATTGCTGGGGAGTGGCTGCAGGGAACACCTGGCCTTGCCCTGTGGTGCTTGGGGTGAGACCCCAGCAAAAGGAATCTTCCCAAAGGCACCTTACCTGTGCTGTTTGCCTGCAGGCCTAGAGATCTATTTTCAAGTGCTTTTTCACAGTTGGATGGGGTTTGGAGCACCCTGGGATTGTGGAAGATGTCCCTACCCATGGCAGGGGGTGGGATGGGATGAGCTTTAAGGTCTCTTCCAACCCAAACCCAAAATTCCATGATTTGAGATATACCATGAATCCTTTACTTTTGGCTGAACTTCTCATGGAGCGAGGGTGGGCTGGGGCTGCCTGGGGTGGCAGTGCAGCACTGAAAGGAGTGGGTCCAGCTTGGTGCTGCCCTGCCAGCTGCCAGGACAGGATCTGAGCTGTGGGGCACAGGGATTGCACACCCACAGGGATGGCTGGGGCCTGGCAGTGCTCTGCTGGGAAGGGGCAGGGTGGCAGCAGCRTGGGGATGTGGCTGCCATGGCTCTCCCGTTGCAGGAGGCGGTCACGGAGCAGCGCCGGGCACTTGGCTGCCTCCTGCAGCAGCTGCTCAAGGAGAAGAAGCAAAGGGAGGAAGAGCTGCAGCAAATCCTGGTAATGGAGCCCCTGCTGAGGTGCTGTGGATGAGGGAGTGTTTGGGTCAGCTGCAGGGAGAGTCTGTGGTTCAGTGTGGGAGTGAAGGGGAGCAGAGCAGGGCTGTGTCCAGATGCAGAGGCCAATTTGATTCCAGAAAGTTCCAATGTACCAGAGGGCACAGCAGCACTCCCTGGTGCAGCCCAAGGCACCATCACCAGTGTCCCCTGCTGGAGAGGGAGCTTTCAGCAGGACCAGCTCAAGGGATGGGAGTTGTGGTCTTGCAGTTGTGGAGATCTCCAGGCTTTGCAGAGCTTCAGGAGGCCAGGCCATGGCACCAGGGGCAAAGCGAGCGAGGGATGCACAGCAGGGATGCTGATCACACAGAAATGCCTGTGTGACCCACTCCCAGTGCTCTGGGTGGGCCCTGCTCAGCCCAGGCTGGGGGCTCCCTCGGGCTCTCGCATGAATGGGTTTGTTTTTCAGCTGGAGATGGAGGCAAAGAGCGAAACCAAACAGGAGAACTACTGGCTGATCCAGTACCAGCGCCTGCTGAACCAGAAGCCCCTCTCCCTGAAGCTCCAGGTGCTGCTGCCTTTCCTGCTCCTGCTCCTGCTCTGCTCTCTTCTGGGGGAGCAGGGCACAGATCCCTCACACACACCCAGTGCTGTTCATGACGCTCTGAGCTCCCTCACTCCTGCCCCGGGGAGGGGATGGGCCTGCCCAGGTCCATGTGGAGSCAACACCTGATGTTTTTGGGATGCAGAACAGCTGGGGCAGGGCAGGGCCGGGCAGGGATGAGCACTCCCAGCCCTGCTGCAGCCTGGCCTCAGGCACAGTCTGGGAGCTCACCTGATGTTTTGCAGGAGAAGGGTTTGGAGCAGCAGCTGGTGACCATCCTGATGGAGCTCTCTGCTGACCACTACGTGCCAGTGTTTGCTCACCATCGAATATCCTTGGAAATGCTCGGCTCCATGACTGCCAGCGACCTGGAAAAGGTACAGGCAGAGACAGCAGAGCCATAGTGTGGGACAACACCGGCAGGGACTGCCCCATCTCTGCTTGGAATCCGGCTGTGCCTGATTCTGGTGGCTCTGGCAGGGCAGAGGTCTGGCTGGTGCTCTGCTGTGTCACCTCCCTCTGTGCTGGTGCACTGCTGTGTCACCTCCCTCTGTGCTGGTGCACTGCTGTGTCACCTCTGCACGAGGACAGGTGTCTGTGCTGCTCTGCCTGTCCTGGTGAGCTGTGGCTCTCCCAGGGCTTTGCAGGGCGAGCTGCAGCCTGGCTCTCTCTTCCAGCATCCCCCAGATGCTCTTTGTGGTAGAAATGGCACCGGGAGTTTCTGGTGCCTGGCAGAGGGGCTTGGCATGGCACTGTCACTGCTTGGGGACATCAGCCTCCTGTCCCCTGTGGGGCCAACAGCCTCCTCTTTGCCCCACAGCTCGGTGTGACAGAGGCTGGGCTGCAGCGTGCCATCCTCAGGAGGGCTCAGGAGATCCTGGCTGTGGCCACGACGACCCCAGGTACGCCCCGTCCTTTCCTGCCACACTTTACACTCACAGCAGGTAGCTGAGCCTGGAGCAGGGAGATGCCTGGGCCAGCCCCTTCCCGTGGGTGTGTGAGGAGGGGCGGCAGGGAGGGCAGGGGAGCCGCGGTGCCGATGGCAGTGCTCCGGGGGCTCAGCTCAGCCCTGGCTGTGGTTGCAGAGCTGCCGAGGGCAGAAGACACCGCGGTCCCTGCGGCCCCAGAGCCCAGCGCTCCCTTGGAGGAGCCCCCGAGCCCCGCGGGCCCCACGGCCCCGCCGCTGCAGTGGGACCAGAGCAAGTGGGAGTGCGTGGTGTGCATGGAGCAGGAGGTGAGAGCCGGCACTGGGGGCCGGAGCAGGGCGGGGAGGGAGGCGGCGTCCGGCACATCCCCGCCTCCGTGTGCCCAGCCTGGCCCTGGGCAATGCGGGCACGGCCGGACATGGGCGTCACAGCGAGGGAGGGCAGGGCAGGACAGGGACGGGGACAGGGACGAGCGGGGCTTCGTGCGGGCTTGGGCGCTCGCGGGGCTCCTCAGTTCAGCCCTCCCGTGTCCTTCCCCGTGTCCATCGGGCCCTTCCCCGTGTCCGTCGTGCCCTTCCCCGTGTCCGTCGTGCCCTTCCCCGTGTCCATCGGGCCCTTCCCCGTGTCCACCGGTCCTTCCCTGTGTCCCCCGCGGTTCCGCTCGGCCCAGCTGCGGCCCCGCACGCCCAGGCTGTGCCCGGGGATGGAGCTCGGGGTGCGGGGTGGGCTCGGGGCGGGTGCGGGGTCCGCCCCCCACTCCGGCACTCCGCGGGCGATGCGCRGCTCCCCCCGTGCCGGGCGCGGTGCTCGGGGACAGCAGCAGCACTGTCCGTGCCCTCTCTGTGTCTCTCTCGCAGACCCAGATGATTTTCCTGCCCTGTGGTCACGTCTGCTGCTGCCAGCGCTGCTGCGAGCGGCTGCACTCGTGTCCCCTGTGCCGCCAGGACATCGCTCAGCGCATCCGCATCTTCCACAGCGCATAGACCGGCTCGAGAGGCACCGGCCCCGTTCCCGGGGTGTTTCCCGGTGCTGCTCATGCCCCAGTTCTCAGCSCCTCACCGGCATGACCGGCACTGCCCTCCCCGTGGGGTGACCCGGGGGTCTCAGCATCCTCCCCACCCCCCGATGGCTTTCAGCCTCCTCCTTCCGATGAATCCCCTCCTCCTGCTCCTGCCTGCCCGCCCGGCATCCCTGGGTGCGCCTGTGGCTCCTCCTCTCTGGCAGAGGTGTTTGCCTTCAGAAMGGTCCTGGCTCGGCAGGGACGCGGGGAGCGCTTCCAGCAGTGCTGCCGGGGGTGGGCGGGGGAATTGTCTGTGGGAGGATTCAGCCAGGACGTGCTGTTCTTCCTGTGCCTTGCACCTCTGTCATGCCAAAGGTCCGGGGCTTTGCTCTGGACACCCACAGGAGCGTGTCTGGGGCTGCASTGGGTGCCAGGGCAGACCCAGGAGCTCCCCAGCCCCTCATTCCTGCTCCCGTGGGAGGGGAGAGTGCAACGGCCCCAGGAGTGCAGGGAGCTGCTCTCACCAGAGGGGCCCAGTGGGGTCCCCTGTCCAAAAAATCAGGTTGGGAGTAGGAAGTGTTGCCCTGGCCAGCAGTGATGCAGGGCTGGGGCTGTGCCCAGCTCAGATCCACGGTGCCTCCGTGCACTGGGGTGTGGGGACCCCTCCGTTGTCATTAATCAGTAGCAATTCCTGCCTGTCCCTTGGCTCTTCACCTTCAAATATAGAAATGCCATGAGCTCACCACAAGCCTTCCCCAGGAGCRGCCATTAAACTGCAGCTGGTTTCTGCTGGCGGTGTTTGCTGTGTCTTTCCTTCTGCAGGGGGGGATGGCTGAAAGCCRGGGGCTGTGGAGCAATGACAGGGCCACCACATGCCCGGCTGTCCCAGTGTCACCTCCTTGTCCTCCTCCTCTCCTYGTCAGACAGAAGAATTTGAAGATCTTGGCCTTCTGCCAAGGTGTTGCTCACTTCAGAGCTGCCCCGGGATGTCCAGACAGGGGGAGACCTTGGATCCCGCGCTCGGGTTGGCTCACATGAGCTGCCCTGTGCAGAACATCGCTGTGGGACACGTGTGTAACCTCGTGGAGGTGCCCAGTGCCCAGTGCCATGTGCCACCAGTGTCCTGGGGACGTGCCGCAGCAGCACGGCGGCTCCTTGGGAACATCCTGGGGGCGTTTCCAGCCTCTTTTCACGTTTTGCTGCTGCTGCACATGAGAGCGGGCACGTCCTGTCCAGGGGAAGGGGCAGGGGCCGCACCGGGAGCAGCTCGTGCTTGGGGTGCAGGAGGTGCCCGAGCGAGGGAAGGCTTCTGGAGAGGGTCACAGACCATTCCCTGCTGCCCCTCGCCTCGGCATTCCCCGTGATCGGGGAGCAGGAGGGAGTCAGACACCCCGGCCGGGGGGATGAGGCAGGCGAGGAACAGGGAGAGTGGCTCCAGTTCTGCAGGGAGCCCCCCTGCGCCCCTTCCCCGGGGGAGTCGGGGACCACACGGGTCTGGCCGGAGAGGGAGGAGAGTCCCGAGGGCTGCCCCGACACCTGGTCAGCAGCAGCGATGCTGCAACATCCCCTCCATGCCACTGTCACCCCTCCATGCCACTGTCATCCCCTCCATGCCCACTGTCACCCCCTCCATGCCACTGTCATCCCCTCCATGCCACTATCACCCCCTCCATGCCACTGTCACCCCCTCCGTGCCACTGTCACCCCCTCCATCCCCTCCGGTGACCGCCGGGCCGTGCTGGGGGTGGTAATGAGTGACCGGAGGCCCGGGCAAGGTCCGCGATGGGACAATGCCCGTACAGAGGTGCCAGCGTCAGCTCTCCCTGCTCCGCCGGGCTGCCCTTYATGGCCAGGGCCAGCACGGCCCTACGAGGGACAGCCCCGCTCAGCCGCGGGGCAGACAAAACAGCATCACCCACGAGTCCGGGCACAGCCAGCTTGTCCCCACCGTGCAGTGTCCCGTGTCACCCCGGGCTGTGCTCGGCTGCTTCAGAAATTGCGTAGAAAAAAAAATTTAAAAAGCATCCTCACCCTTCGGCCGCATCCGGCCAGCAATGTCGGGCAGTCGCGGGGCTGCAGCCGCTCTGTGCTCAGTGCAAACATCCCCTGTCCATCCCTGGAACCCTCAGGTGGCCGTGCCCGTCGCTGGGCAGGGTCACCTCTTGCACCAGGTGACAAACAGACCCCAGGGCTGGTGACAAAAGGGTGCACGACGGGGCTGCTGTACGCACTGCTGACCTGATCCTAATTCATAAAAGTGAATTAACATTGATATCAACTGTGCTGGGGAAGTATTGAGRATACAATGGATTAGGAAAGGGAAAAGGGAAACAACAGCAGGTGTTTTTGGGGCAGCAGCTCTGCGATGGAGGAGGAGCGTTCCCTGTGCCGCTCCAGTGCCCGCCGGGCACCCTGGGGCCAGGCTGAAGTTCATGGGGGGGCGGCTGCCCGGGCCCCTCTCCCCTCCCCGGGCTCGGCCATCGCTGCCCCCGCCTTCAAAAGCGGCCGGGCCGGGCGGTGCCCGCGGAGCGCGATGGCAGCGGGGCCCGAGCCCGGCCGGGAGTGCGGGATCTGCTACGAGCCGTACTGGGGCTCGGGGGGCTCGGGGGGCTCGGGGGGCTCGGGGAGCGGCCCGCAGCAGCTGCCCTGCCGCCACTCGCTGTGCCAGCGCTGCCTCCGCAGGCTCGTCTGTCGCGCCGCCACCGTGGCCTTCGTCAGCTGTCCCTTCTGCAGGATGGTGACGCTGCTGCCCGAGCTGCCCCCGGAGCTTCCCGGAGCCACAGCGGGCTCGGGGATCCCGCAGCAGGAGAGCGGCGGCGGTGTCCCCCCCGAACCCGGCTCGCCGCGCTCCGCGGCCGCGGTGTGCTCGTCCCACGTCCCCGTGTTCTCCGTGAGCAGCTCCGTGTCCCCCTGCGGGCTCCGCCGCGGCTCCGARGCTCCTCACGCCTTCGTGCTGGGGCTGCTGGGCCGGGGGCTGCTGCTGGACACGCAGCCCCCGCTGGCCTCCATGGAGAACCTGCGCCTCGGCTTCGCCGCCGGCATCCTCGTGCTCATCGTCTCCACCTTCTTCCTGCTCGTCTTCCTCAAGTAGGTGCGGATRGCGGAGGGGGCTCCCATCCCGTCCCGCCCCAGTGGATGGACCCGGCCGTGGGTCTGGGACTTCTCCGGCCACGGACCCCTCGGTGGGCCACGGCCACGGCCAGGTCTCAGCGCCTGCCTGGATAGAGCCCTGGGGCCCGCAGGACGCTCGGCTGCCCCGAACGCGAGTCCTCGGGCAGCAGACTCTGTAAAAATTAACTTATTGAGCGCCTTCCTCGCCCGGGGCTGGCAGCGCTCACGCTCCGTGCCGAACASCCCCGGGCCCCGCGGCACAKCTCGGCTCGGCGGGAGGGCAGCCYGGGGCCTCCGCTCCCCGGCGGTGCCGAACAGCAGAGACCGGGACAGGGACATCCCGGGCACCGCAACATCCCCGGGCACCGCAACATCCCCGGGCACCGCACAGCCGGGACTGCAACATCCCCGGGCACCGCAACATCCCCGGGCACCGCACAGCCGGGACTGCAACATCCCCGGGCACCGCAACATCCCCGGGCACCGCACAGCCGGGACTGCAACATCCTGGGCACCGCAACATCCCCGGCTACACAACTTTCCAGGCACCGCAACATCCTGGGCACCGCACAACCGGGACCGGGACATCCCGAGCACCGGAACATTCCGGGCTCCGCAACATCTCGGGCACCGGAACATCCCCGGACACCGCAACATCCCCGGGCACCGGAACATCCCCGGCAGTGCCCCGGTCCGGCACCGCAAGGACGCGGTGAGAGGGGATGGAAAGGGTCCCGCAGTGAAGTTGCTCCAAGGGAACTCAAAGCCCTCGGTCGGGAGGAGAGAGCCCGGCACGGTGGCGGTACAGGGCTGAGTCAGCCGGGGTGGGCTCAGCCCCGCAGRGACATGAGATATTAAAGCCAGACCTGGGCCCAGCACCGTGTCCGGGTGTTTTTCTGTGAATCCRTGAGCCTCGCCAGGAGGGCAGGGGCTGAGCACCAGGGTCACCAGTGAACAAGGTGGTTCTCTCCTTCCCAGCCTCCAGCAATTCCCCCATGGGCACATCCTCAGCCATGTCCTCCATGGTTCACCCCCCTCCGGCCCAAAATCAGCTCCCGGGATCAGGATTTGCCCCTTCACAGCCCCTGGGACAGCATTGTCCTCTCTGGGCCCCGGCACGTCCCTCCCTCCCAGAGCTCCCACACGTTCACCTCCTGCAGCCCAGGCAGGTGCACACACAGGCACAGAGGACAAACAGGGCTTATTTAGATCCTGAGACTGAGCCACAACAAACCTGGGAGCTCCAGGCTGAGGCAGAGGGAAATGCGAGGGTGGGGAAGGGGCTGTGGTACCTGAAGAGRGAGGGACAGGTTTCAATCTCAGCTCTTGCACCCCAATCAATCCCTGCTCTGGGCTCCCCAGGCACGGTGGAGCTGAACCTTCCTGCACCTCCAGAGAGGCTCAGGGGGGACTGGGCTGTGCAAAGCTCTGGAGAGGCCCAAGGTCCCCTCCCCCAAAATCTGAGGGGAACCAGACAAGTGTCCCCTGTGACCATCAGGGCTYTTTGTGCTTCAGCTTCTCACACCAACACAGTCCAGTGTGAGAGCCCCACAGCCCAAAGGGAGCTTCTCTTTCCCCAGAGAAGGGTTCAGCAGCAAGAACAGAAAACACAAAACACTTCCTGGATCAAATTATTCTGATTTAAGTCAGAACTAAGTCAGTTTTCAGGTGACAGATGAAGGCAGACTAAAGTAAAGCCACTGCGAACAAAAAATAAGGTTTAATTGCACTTTATTTTCCAAGAAGTGAAATGCAAATCCCTCAGGCTGTCTATCTGTAATGGGGAACAAGAAGTGGAACTTGTTAGTACGAGCAGTAATCTCCCCTGGGACACTGCAGGGATGGCTCCAGAGGCCACAACAGGGCCCTGACACTCAGAGCCACACAAGGATACCCAGAAAATCCAACCTCAAACACCCCCATGGTCAACACTGAGCACCTGCCAGGAAGGCCCAGCTCAGGTCAGTCTGCAGGCAGCAGGGTGGCTCACAGGCTTTGGTCTCTGCCCCATTTCAGCTACATTTGGCAAGCTGTGGCACTGAGGGTGTGGCACAGGGACAGGGACCTGCCACACATCCCAGCAGGAACAGACCCTGCTCTTCTGGGTGTTTTCTCCCAAGACATCACCTGTAGGGGGACACAGATCTAATTCCAGTCACAGAGGGGAGAGGCAGCTGCAGGAACTAAACTGCAGAATTAGTAGATTTAGTTTGAGTCCTTCATTTGATGAAGTGGAAGGTTTATTCTGGGGTGAAGGGCTGCTGGGGTGAAGGTGTCTTAGCGCCCATGAGTGGAGAATAAAAGTGCTGTGAGAGTCCCAGGCTCTGCCCTCACTCCTTTCCCCTCTCGGTCCCCTCAGWGTGCAGGGTGACACCCCAAACTGCCCAGTCCAGCCCAGCCCGGGCCTGTGTCCCATCCCCCTGGGCAGTTTAACTGGTGCTGGGATGGTCACAAAGTCACAGCAGCAGAGCCAAAGGCACAGGACAGRGGCTGGGCTGTGGGGAGGCACCTACCAAACATGCAGCACCTCCTGGAGCTGAAACCCAGCACAGCAAAACCTATCAGAGCTCTGGGCACGGGAGGGGAGCTGCTGGGAGACTCTGTGCAGCACAGGGCAGGGATTGGGCTCCTGGAACCCGGAGCTGCTACAGCCCTGCCCAGGCCCTGCTGTAACAGAGCTCAAGGTCCGGCAGCACTGAGGGCTCCAGCAGCACTGCRGGGTCCRGCAGCACYGMRRGGTSCAGCAGCACTGMRGGSTCCAGCAGCMCTCGGTGCCCAYCTGAACCACCTCAGCCCCC